ACGAGTTGTCCCTGTCCTGGCCCCGCCCAAAGTCATGAGGCAGCTCCCAGGAGGTCTTCGTGGGAACGATTTAGCTGAGCATTTTCATAGGGTGGAGGGCTCAGGGTGAAATCCACATGGGCCTTTGCAGCTGGAAAAGCTATCCGTCTTGTGATTCACCTTTTGCAGATTCAAACCTCGAAGATCAATCGAAACAGCATTCCAAATTTCACCCTTTGCCCTTCATCCAAAAGAAATGCTCGGTTTAGGGCCGTGAGGCTTGATGAGGTGGTGAGGGAATCGGTTCGCCGGACAGGGCTCGATGAAGCCGGCCGTGGCTTCCTCGAAGGCCCTCGTTGCTTCTCAAAGGCGAGAGGGCTTCCGAGACGCCCCGCGGCCCTCTGAACAGTCCTGACTCCTCGCACTTCCCCTCGTGGCTCGCCGCCGGAAATAGGGGATCAAGGCCGCCCGCCAACGACAGCAACACTGAAAACCTACCCGATCGACCGCGGAACCGACCGCGGAACCGAAGCCAACAGGCGCCCCAGGCGGCCTTCCCAAGGGCGCGGGCAGCGCAGCAACGATGCGGCAGTCGACCGACAAGAACGGGCCGAGACTGCGACGCAGCTGGACCGACCGAACCGCGGACACCGGAGGCGACAACTCCTAGGAGGTCTTCGTAAGAGCGCCAATAAGCCCGACTTAGGGGCCATCAAGCCAGATCGTGCCAGAAGAGGCCTAGGCCAGGACCCCATGGAACCATATTCCATTTGATTGAGCGGGATTGACCGGAATGAAACGTGGTTATGCCAGATTGGGCCCATTTTCGACCACGGATTTACCAGTGCCGATTCTTAACTGAACCTGCCAGGAGATGCTTCCTCATATACCCCAGGCTTCAAGGGCTAATTACCAGGACCCTTCGAGAGGGGGAGCGAGCTGGCTAAGAGGGAACGGGCAAGACTGGTCAGCATCGAATCGGGACATTTGGCCGGGCCGCATCGGCAATGAATCGCGATCGAATCGGATCGGCTGCGCCCGAATGCACAACAACGCCGTGCAAACATCAAGCCGCATCGGACCGTCTGAAAACCATAATCAAACGGGAACAAGCCGTCTGAAATCGGTATCGAATCCGAAAGATCGGATCGACCTGGATCCTGGAATGGAGCCTCTGCCCAATGACACTTGGATTCTTCGCTCGGAGAGGTGGGGATGGGGGGGGAGGCTACAGTCAAGCTGCTGCTACAAGGATCGCAAGGTAAGGAAAGCGAGGCCCCTCTTTGGCCCTAAAAAGCGCCTGGGTGTGCGAGGAGTACAAGAGGAAGAACCGTGGAAAGACCCAGGGAACAACGATACGGCAGGTTCGTGTCGGGCCGACTTCGGCGTTGGCTTCTGACACCGCGGGCATCGTTCAACCTTGAACGATCGGCCGTTTCCGAAACCTCCGATCGTTCGACATCGACCGATTCTGGGTCGCCGGCGGCGCTCAACGTTGAACGCCTGCGGCGGGGTTGCCGCTGGTCGACACGACGCGAAGCTATCGTGCTACAAAAAAAAGAAAATGCCACAAACATAAACCTTTGGGGCTCCGCGCGAATTTTATGGATCTGCGCTGGACCCCCACCTCCCTAGCGCGCGGAACGCGCCAGGGGCGGAGCTGGAGGCGTCGCCGGGGGGACCAAGAAATCCGCGCAGAGCGCCACAAGTTTATGTTTATGGCGCTTTTTCTTCGTCGACGTACCCTTCCGTACCCGAACTGACCCTCGCTTGCAGTCTGTCGCCAGACCTAGCGAAGGAGGAGGAGGAGGAGGAGGAGGAGGAGCAGGAGGAGGAGGAGGAGGAGGAGGAGGAGGAGAGGAGGAGGAAAAGGAGAAGGAGGAGGAGGAGCAGGAGGAGGACGAGGAGAGGAAAAGGAGAAGGAGGAGGAGGAGCAGGAGGAGGAGCAGGAGGAGGAAAAGGAGGAGGAAGAGGAGGAGCAGGAGGAGGAGGAGGAGGTCCTTGCTTGCAGTCTGCCGCCAGAAGCTCGCGCCCTCGCGCAAACAAACACACAGCATGCGCGGCCGCCCGCGCGCCCCTCGCGCCCTCTCGCGCCTGGGTCGTGCTGCTGCCTCCAGGGCCGGCTCGGTCCGTCAAGGTCTACCCACCAGACCACCCCAGCCCAACCCGAAAATCCGAAGACCCCAACCCAACCCGAAGGCCCGAATCTCGGGTTTTTCGATGTTCCCCGACCCCCTCCCCACTGGAAATGGAAGGCAAATTCAGGCCTTCGGGTTGGGTTGAGGTGATTCGGTAGGTGGTGAGTCAAGGTCTGGGGGGGCCGGGAACTGAAGGGGCCCTGGGGCACAGAAATAAATAGGCACAAGTAACAGGATTCCCAACATTTTCTCATATCTTCTGGGTTTTCGTATTCCCCCCCCACTTCCCACATTTTCCCATATTTTCTTGGGAATCGACGATTAATTGCGTCTGTTTTTTTTTTTGCCTACCTGAGAGAACGCAGCGATACAAATTTCGGAGGGGGCATAAAAGGTGGAGTTTGGGCAACGTGGAGGCAACTGCTGGGAGGTTCTCCTCGGAAGGATTATCGGGCGTTCACTCATAAGGGGGCGATGGATGGAGGGGTAAGACAGGTGCACCTTTCGTACACTTGTCGTACCCCTTCGGGGCCCCATGGGGCTCCTTTAGGGCCCCTTTCGTGCGACCCTCGACGCCTCCCCCATGCATCGCCCCCCAATTACCGAACGCCCAAGATTGAGGAGGAACAAACCCCATTGGGAGGCTGTTTACGCCGGAATGGGCCTCGGATTAAGCAAGATTAAGCCGGATTAAGCGGGATTAAGCTGGACTCAGCGGGATTAAGCCAGATTTCGGACCAGGGCACAATCAGAACTTAACCTCCCAAGAGCTGCATTCGCTCAGAGCGGCCCCTGGAATAAGAAAACGCGTCAAACGGGAGTATCCAGGTGGGCCCGTTCCTCAGCTCCACCCTCTACGAATCCCCGAAAATCCTTTGTTGGGGTCGCCCTGGCCCAGGTGTGCCATGGCCATATCGAGAATACTTCCAAATCCGCGTCAACGGAGGGCAGGGAAAGGGGTCGACGCTGCATGCCCACCTGGAACTGGGTCAGCTGAAACGGACAGGAGGGGATGCTGACCGCCATTAGCGCTAGGCCCTGTTTCGGCGTCCCCGGCCTTGTTCGGAAGATAGCTGGTTGAGACACTGGAGGCCTCCTAGATGTGGCCCGAGTAGATGGGGTCGGAGGATCGCGCTGCATCGACAATGCATCGGCGACGTCAGCAATGTATGGGCGAAATCGGCGCGGATAATTTCGGCCTCCACATCGAGCCGCATCGCCGATGCATCGGCGATGCGGCACGATCCTCCGACCCCATCTACTCGGACCGCGTGTGGGAGATCTAGAGACACCATCGACTCTCCCACTCGGCCCAAATCCGCTCGAAATCGGCCCCGAACCCCCCAGACCCCTCCTGGGGTCCAACCCGACCCGTTCGTAAGAGTGATGCCAGTCTACAAGGAACCTCCAGCAAGAAGCTCAACCCTGAGACCCCAGGACGTCCATTGATTTTTGGTGTGGGAACGTCACGCTTTCCATAGCAAAACCGTCGAAACCCAAGAAACCCAGAGCACCCTGGAGGCACGCAGGGTGATTCTTGGCATGGGTCTCCATTGCATTCGAGGTGGATCCAGCCTTGGCAACGAGAAGCCTGAATGAGGCCCAGAGAGGACGAAGAGAGTCGGGGAAGACCGCCGCCGCCTCGACTGGCCCCGGCGGCCTCATTGAAGGACTGGGGTCCCACTTGTGAAGGAGTAGACGATATTTTGTTCCCGCGGCACCCGCCCCGCAACGACGACGACGACGGCAACGACTACGATTGCGACTACGACTACGGCGACTACTAGTACTTATGCCTCAACATACCTTGGGACCAATCCTATTCACCGCCGAGTGGGGGAGGGGCTTCAAAACCAAAGACTTATAGAGGTTAGGGGGCCCACAAAAAAAACCTTCGCGCAATGCATGCCCTCGAAACCCAGGAGAACCCGTGGAGCGCACAAGTTCTGGTTCTCGCTCTTGCCTCCTCGTTCCCCCTCGCACCCCTGCGCGGCGCGACCTCCGTCATCTCCGGGTTGCGGGCCCACGTCTGCCCCGCGCCGACCTGGCCGGGAGACACAGGGATACAGCCGACGTGCTGCCATGAGGGATAAGACGAATATCAGGACGAGGACAAATTCGGGTGAGGATAAATCACAAATCTCTGAGATCTAGCGGCGCTGGAGGATGTATCGGGCGCCGCGTCCTTCAGAGCGTTCTGGAACGCTCTGAGAGCCTTCCAGAATGCTCTGGAATGGATTCACCTCGTCCTGGCTCCGTTCTAATACAACCGTGGTGCTGCCAGGAGGAACTCAGATAAAGAACGGTAGGGCTTTGCTGGCCCCTGCGGGCCTCGGCCGCGAATGCGGAGGTCCCGTTGCGCAGATTTGAGGAGCGGCCTGCAAACCAGAGCCCGAGCATATGGGGGCCAAGAGGATCTGCCGACCCTGTCGGTGTTTGGAAGAAGCTGTCGTCGTCGTCGTCGTCGTCGTCGTTGCCGTAGCCGCTCCCTTTCGTTTCCCCAGGTCCTCGTCTTCAACCAGCACCCACACAGAGATGGAGGAACGTCGTAGTTAAGTCGAACGGAAACCACTTCCCTTCGTGGACGGCCTCGACGCCGACCCAAATGTACGCCATCAAGTGGCGGTCGAACACGACTACGATCATGATCTTGACGATCTCCAGGACGCTCGGCGAGAAACCAAGCGTAACCCGGACGCACATCACGTGCTTCGAGATCCGGCCGGTGCGGGTGCAGGGAGGCGCAGTGGGGCGCAGGCTCCGGAGCATCGCCGGCGCCCGCACGCGGGCTCTGTGGTCAGTGATGAAGGGGCGCGCCGCGGTCATGGTCGCCCGTCGGTTCACAGGCGGACACTCCTGCAGGCGCCCCCCCCTGCAGGAGACACAGACATAAATACACACAAATAACAGGACTCCCTATCTTTTCCAATATTTTCTGGGTTTTTGTCTTCCCCCCACTTCCCATATTTTCCCATATTTTCCTGGGGATTGACGATCAATTGTGTCTGTGTTTTCCCTCCTGTTAAACCTACAAAAACCGAAAGGACATCTACGATTTTGGATGACTCTGGCCTGCCAGAGCCGTCTTGGAGGGCCTCCTGGAACATTCTGGGTTCGTGCTGGAGACAAGGGGGGCCTGGAAGCGCCGAGCGAGCCGTCTGAAAAGTCTAGAGGCCAGGTCGGAAAGGCTCGAAACTGCCGTGCATGGTCTTGACGGGTCTGAACGCCCTCGGCGTTGATTTGGGGCCCCCAGGATGCGCCGGGACCCCCGATTCACCCACTTGTAATCGGGGTTCCGTCGTTAGGGGCCCCCGTCTTGGTTCCCCCTTTCATGAAGAACTTGCAACTGTCAGCTCCACTGCTCGCGCCATCGCCCCACCCACTCACCCGCAACTTGGTTTGCTAAACCCATGCGGCGGCAATTGCGACGAGTGCTTGGCGCTGACGCGCGGGCACTTCAACACGAATCGGTGGTTCGGTTGGGCGCGGTATCATGGCGACGTCGGCAACGGTAGACACGATGGTGATAATAGCGATGCTGGTGGCGAGGATGGCGATGACGACGGCAAGGCCAATGACGGCGCCGATGCGGTTCACGACGATGACGATGATGGTTCCCACTTGTCGGCGATGAGAATGTTGGAAGGATTTCGACATGCGTGGGCGGCCGACGCGGGCGAATACCGCGCGACTTTATGTGACAAGGATCGTGTTCCCCCCCCACCGCAAGAGCGCAACGGCGTTCGAATGATTCCGACAATCGCGAGAGAAGCCTGGTCGCAGTTGGTAAGCATGTTGAAAATCATGGCTTCCAACATAATGCAACAACCCGCAACCTGTTGTTTGTTGTGTTCATGTGTTGTGCTTGTTGTAGACAAACACAGGTCGCACCGTGTATGTATGTATGTATGTATGTATGTATGTATGTATGCACGCTTTCGGGAACCTCGGCCTTGCAAATCGGTATCAAACCCAAGATTTCCATATCATTTCGGCACGCACGCGCGCGACGCCGCGCGCGCGTGTGGACTTTGTGCTCTTCTTTGTGAAAAGGTTTGTTGAATCTAGGTGATGTTTGATCAACGGGTTCGCGCGCATGGTACGTTTTGACAAGGATAGGGGGAGGGCGACGACGCGTCGAGCTGGGCTGGTATACGTTCATATCTCAGTGAACGATGTAGCAGAAAACACGTACATTGCACAACCCCAGAGGGGGGCGATCATTCCGGGGAGGGCGGAGGGCGGGGCGCGGATGCTGGGGAAGGGGGGGGGGGAAATAGTTGGAATTTCTTCTCAGATGCAAGCGCATGCGCAGTGCAGTGTGCGCTGAACGAACCATGCTGTGCAGTATAGGATGTGCAAAGTATGGAGTGCTATACACGTGGTTCATTTCTAATCGTGCTCATTTCTAATTGTGCTCGTTTCTAAGTGTTCCTGGCCCCCTAGTGGCCAGGAAGAGGCCCAGGACAGAACAATTAGGAATGAAACGATCTTGGCCCCCCGAACACCAAAGAAATTTCGAATCATTAGACATGAGCAATGTGTACGTGTTGTGCAGCATACGTGGTGCAACACGTGTGGGGCAATCAATCGACGCGGTGCCATGGACTCTGCCCCTCTCACGCGCGGCCGCTTCCCACGTTCGTGCACCAACATCCCGCGCGCCCGCCCGCAACTTCGCTTGCCCCCCGCTCGCCATCGCTCGGAGGTCCATTCCCCGTGCATTTCTCGATTTCGTGCGTGTATTTTTCGCTAGGTGATTCAGAATGCTCCTCGATGGTCGTCGCCCCCCCAAAAAAGCACGTCCGAGCGATTGGCCCGCGGCGGCGATTGCGATGACTCCCTGGCGCTGGCTGGCGCGCCACTGCGGCCGCGCTGGCGCGCGCGGGCTCGCGCGCAGAGCGACGGGCCAATCTGGCGCGACTCGACGCCGGCGCTTTGGCTCTGGCCGCCGGGGACCTCCCGACGCTGCTCGCATGCCGCGCGGGCGCGCGAGCCCTCCCGTGCGAATCGGTGATTCGGTCGGGCGCGGTATCGTGGCGACGTCGACAGCGGCAGGCGCGATGATGATTGTAGCGGTGCTGGCGACGACGGTGACGATGGCGACGGCAAGGCCAATGGCAGCGCCGATGCTGATCACGCCGATGGCAACGATGGTGCCCACGCGTCGGTGACGGGAGTCTCGAGAGGGGTTCGACGTGCCGCTTGGCCGAAGGGCGCGAGTGGCCCGCATGGCATTTGTCGACTGGGATCGTCCGCTCCCCCAACACGCGCGCAAAGGCGCTCAAATAATTTCGACATGCGCGCGCTGGGGCCTGCTCGATGAACGCGATGAGGTTTGTCATGCAAATTTGCATTTTTACGCATAAAAGAGAAATCAGATCGCAAAGCCATTGGTTTTCAAATCTGATTCAGAACCTCAAGTCCTCCTCCTGCCGCTGACCCAATCCACCCTCCCATCCCTGCCTCTGCGCTCCGCGTGTCTCTTTCGGTGCGCCCCTCACGCGCTTCATCGCCTGAGGGGGTGCTCTGCCGAATGCAAGATCTTCTCCAGACGGTCGAGAGGGGTCCAACACGAGCTGAGCGGCCCCAAGGCGTCCCCATGACAGTCCAGGTAGGCTCATTCGGGGCCTCGGTACGAGATGTGTCACATGTTGCGGCCTCCTGGCTGGTGCTCCAAGCAACACACGGAATGCTGCACTCGCACTGTGGCGAACCTTGCCGCAGGCAGCCGGATCATGAATGTGGTGAGCAGCAGGTAAAGTGGAGGCGGAGGGACACACGAAGGGATGGAGGCAAGAGGGATCAACAACTACACGCAGACCGCATGGCGCGAATTGTCAAGTAACACGCGCGCAATAGGAAGACACACACACACACATACATCCTCTTCTGAAGGTCGGCGGAAAGGAAGACACCTGTTGAACCAGTCTTAGCAGCAAATAGTCATACAAATGGAGGGCGGGCGGTTTTCGAAATGTGACACTCGCCGTGCCGCTAAACACATTCGTTTTACAAGTTTCCATCGCATACGCCGATGGCGGGCGGATCGGTTTGACCATCTGACTGCCGCTAAGTTGGGTGTTGCTGGATAGTGCATTTGATGTTTGAGATGGCCCTCTGACAGGTGAGCAAAGGCCAAAAGGACACCCTGATGGAGGAAGCTTCAAGCTTCCTTTTCAAGCTATCACTCTCGCTTGGGACGTGTCCTGAAGGCTGATGACCTGGGGTGCGTACTCGTGCCACTGCCAAACGGATGGAGGGCGAATCTTCCTGCAAAGCGAGGTTTTCGATAGGTTGATGACCTGGGGTGCGTACTCGTGCCACTGCCAAACGGATGAAGGGCGAATCTTTCTGCAAAGCGAGGTTTTCGATTGGCAAGTTCTGATCAGACCTCTGTGCTGCCGATTCAATTGCATGTGGTAGGAGGATGGGGAGCCACTCGCTTTCAGAGCAGTGCTGACGCCTGCATGGCAGGCCCACTGGGCGTTGGTCCTCCGCACGGGTGAGCACGGACTCCTCGTGGGCACCCGTGCGGGAGGGACCTGGGGCAGGAGGGTGTCACGAGGAGGCGTGGCTGATGCACGCGGCGTGGCGGGACTCCGGACTCCCCTGCTGTTCCTCCTCCACCCGTTCCTCCCCCCTCCTCCTCCCCCCTTTCCCTCCCTCCTTCCCCCCTTTCCCTCTCCCCTCCCCCCTCCTGCTGCCTCCCCTCACCCCCCTCCCCTTACTCCTCCCCCCCCTCTTCCTCGAGCTCCCCCCCCCCTCTCTGTGGTAACCAACTACAAAATACCGATCCCGCCACTCCCGTGACCTCTCCCGGCTTGCGTTCTGACCAGGATTTCGGGGCGAATCCAGCGGTGGTGACGAGGGCCTCCCAGAAGACCCAAGAGGGGGAAACCGAGGGAAGGGTAGAGGCATGGGCGTATCTTTTCCTCCCCCCCCCTCTCCTCCTCGCTCCTCCCCTCGACCCCTCCGCTGCCCGCCGGGCGCGCCGTGGCCGCGGCGGCCGCGCCCGGCCGCGCCGGCGGCGTTTCGGCGACGGCGGCGCGAAGGGGGGCGGCCTCGCTGCCGAACCACCAGCCGGAGGCCGCCTCGGGCCGGCGGGGGCGGCCCCGGGAGCGGCGAGGGAGGGCGGGAGCGGCAGGAGGGGGGGGGGGGGGAGAGCGGCAGGAGGAGGGGAGGGGAAGGGGGGGAGGAGGGGGAGGAGGGGGAGGAAGGGGAGCCGCGAGGGCGGCAGGGAGGGGGGAAGAAGAGGGGGTAGGGGAGGAGGGGGCAGGACGGGGGGCCTGGGAGGGCGGCGGGAAGAAGGGGGGGGGGGAGGGGGCGTGACGTGGGTGTCATCATGTGGAGACTGCTCGTGAGTCAATGTTTGGCCAAACGATTGCGCACGAACGCACACACTCGGACGCATACACACCAAACACAAACACACGCACTGGAGCATGCACGCGCACACACACAAACACACACACACACACGCGCGCACGCACACGCGCACGAGCACCCACGCGCGCACACGCGCACGCACGCACGCACGCACGCACAGACACACGCACGCATAGACACACAGACACACCGACACACAGACATACATACGTCACACACACGCACACATACACACAAGCACACATACACGCACACGCACGCAGACAACACACATCAAACACACACACAGACACACAGACCCACAGACACAGAGACAAACATACACATATACACAGAGACAGAGAAACACAGAGACACAGAGACACGTACACACAGAGACACAGAGTCAGAGAGACGCATAGACACAGAGACAAGAGTCACCAAGACACATATACACAGAGACACAGAGTCGCAGAGACGCAGAATTGCGCAGAGACACAGAGACGCAGAGACACATATACACATATTCAGAGATACAGAGAGACGCAAGGACGCAAAGACACAGAGACACATAGACACAGAGACACAGAGAAACAGAGACACAGCGACACAGGTACACGGTGACACAGAGACGCAGAGACACAGAGACGCAGAGACGCAGAGACATAGAGACACAGACACACAGAGACACAAACGCATAGAGACAGAGAGTCACAGGCACAGAGGCAGAAAGGCGCAGAGACACAGAGACGCAAAGTGCAGAGACGCGCAGACACCGAGACACAGAGACACATACAGAAACACATAAACACAGAGACACAGAGACACATACGGAGACACAACGACACAGAGACACAGACAAATACACATACGGAGACACAGAGACACAGACAGAGACACAGAGACACAGAGACACAGAGACACATACAGACACAGTCACATAGTCACATAGTCACATAGTCACATAGTCACATAGACAGACACAGACACAGACACACACGCAGACACACAGACACACACGCACACCCACAAACCCACATGCAGACACACACACACACACACCCACACACCCACACACCCACGCACACAGGCAGACACAGAGACAGAGACAGGCACAGACACAGACACACCCTCACACACACACACACACACACTGCGGGATCGCAGCGCTGCCTCCCGACCTCTGCGGCAACTGTGCCTCGGAGGCCCTACAGAAAACAACCCTTGGACGCCCGAAGTGGGTACGGAATTACCCTGTGACGTACCCAACCCATTTGTATCATGGGAAACGAGGAGTTGGCCGAAACTTGCACGGGCAATGGCAATCAAATTGCAGGATCCGTTGTTTGATGTGTAAGCTACTTGGGGCAAGCTCAGCAGCCCTCGAAAGTGGCGACAGTTTCACAGATCGCAACCCCCAGCAGCCCTCGAAACGCAAGGACGAGCGAGGTAAGAAAGTGGCGACAGTTTCACAGATCGCAGCCCCCCAAAGATGGCGAGGTCCCATTTGAATCCGCGCGTGGGTACCCACTGTGCTGGGCCCCCCAGCAGGCCTCGAAAGTGGCGACAGTTTCACAGATCGCAGCCCCCCAAGGATGGCGAGGTCCCATTTGAATCCGCCGTGGGTACCCACTGTGCTGGGCCCCCCAGCAGGCCTCGAGTGGCGACAATTCCACAGATCGCAGCCCCCCAGGGATGGCGAGGTCCCATTTGAATCCGCCGTGGGTAAACACTGTGCTGGACCCCCCAGCAGGTCTCGAAGGTGGCGACAGTTTCACAGATCGCAGCCCCCCAGGGATGGCGAGGTCCCATTTGAATCCGCCGCGGGTGCACACTGTGCTGGGCCCCCCAGCAGGCCTCGAACGTGACGACAGTTTCACAGATCGCAGCCCCCCAGGGATGGCGAGGTCCCATTTGAATCCGCCGCGGGTGCACACTGTGCTGGGCCCCCCAGCAGGCCTCGAAAGTGGCGACAGTTTCACAGATCGCAGCCCCCCAGGGATGGCGAGGTCCCATTTGAATCCGCCGCGGGTGCACACTGTGCTGGGCCCCCCAGCAGGCCTCGAAAGTGGCGACAGTTTCACAGATCGCAGCCCCCCAGGGATGGCGAGGTCCCATTTGAATCCGCCGCGGGTGCACACTGTGCTGGGCCCCCCAGCAGCCCTCGAAAGTGGCGACAGTTTCACAGATCGCAGCCCCCCAGGGATGGCGAGGTCCCATTTGAATCCGCCGCGGTGCACACTGTGCTGGGCCCCCCAGCAGGCCTCGAAAGTGGCGACAGTTTCACAGATCGCAGCCCCCCAGGGATGGCGAGGTCCCATTTGAATCCGCCGCGGGTGCACACTGTGCTGGGCCCCCCAGCAGGCCTCGAAAGTGGCGACAGTTTCACAGATCGCAGCCCCCCAGCTGGCACGCAGCGACGAGCGAGGCAAAAGGCAGGGGGGAAGAGAGGGACGGGGAGGAAGGAAGGAAGGTTCGCGCGAGCAGTGCTCTATTCAAAACGAGAACCCAACGCAGGAGGGTTGGGAAAAAATGGGTACACTGCCCAACAACAAATGTTGCGGCCGCTGTTGGGCAGGCGGCCTTCTGTCTCGAGTGGACACAGGCCGCGGCGGCGCGGACAGCAAATCCTGTTCAAAATGAGCACGAACTGCTGTTGTGCATCGTATCCATTCTTTCCGTGCCCATTTCGCTCGCCTCCAGGCTCTAGCAACACACTGCGAAATCTGTACCAACGCAACAGCGCTTCTCACCTTCTGCACCCATTTGCTTCAGAGGCCCCACAGACCTCCGCACTAGCAGCACACTGCGAACTGTACGCTGGCGTTGAATCCCACGAGCAGCAAGCGTATCCGCATCCGCGCCGTCGCGGTCTGGATTCAGGGGGGCGCGATCTGGCGGATACGCGATGGCACGGCTACGCCCCTCGCGGGGCATCCGCGAGGAAACGCCTCGCATCTACGGGGTCGCGATCCCCACGGGCCCAGCCCGCGAGGCCGAGGATACGGCTTTGATTTTCGCCCACGAAAAACAGCCTCCATTCCTTCTCCCAGTCAAACCCCGAGGCCAATCGGAAGGCGGGCCGGGCGTTTCGCCGGACATTTCCTTACCACTGAGGATCCAGAAGCTGAAACGTATGCAACAGCTTCACCATGTGAGGGCGGACGGATTTCAAAACATGGCCTTCGCCGCAACGACGCGCGCACACGTCGTAACACAGTTCGGAATTTTAACGGATTGAAGGCAGACGGTTTTCAACATGCGGCCTTCGCCTTCGTGCCGCGCGCAATCGTACTTAATATGTGCAAGGGCTTCACGACTTGAAAGCGGGTGGTTTTCGAAATGTGGGACTCTCGCACCAACGCCGCGCACACCCGACTTTAAAGATGCAGCATTTTCACTGATTTGGGGCGGGCGATTTTGAAAAGTGGTTACCGCCGTAGTTCCGTGCGCATTCGTTTTTTAAGTTGGTGATATTTCCATGGATTCTCATCATCAAAGTAACAAACATGGTGTTCCAGAGCGACTCAGGATTGTCAAGGCGCAACAATTACGTTGACTCGCGGCGATGAAGTCCCCAGAATGACGGTCTAGCGCGATTCAGGATCAACAAAACACAACAGTCCGGATCAGTCGCGGCGATGGGGCCCGAGAGTGATGCTTTGGCATGCTTCAGGATCTTCAAACGGTGGCATCCCAACGGGGCACTTCCCTCCGGGGAAAATAATCCTTGTAAGGGCCTGTGGGGCCCAGTTGGGAAAGAGCTTGGAGGCACGGCTTCTTTCAACATCGTTGATGAATATTGGGTTTACGCTGGTCCTCCTCGTCTTCCTCCTCCTCCCTTCCTCCCCCTCCTCCACCTGTTCATCCCTTGAAAATTGGAGCTGATCCTCATCTTCCTCTTCCTCTTCCTCCTCTTCCTCCTCCGCGTCCTCCCCCTCCTCCTGCTCCTTGCCTCCTCCTCCTCCGCATCCTGTTCCTCCTGGTCCTCCTCATTATCCTCCGTCGCCTCCTCCTCCTCCTGTTGTCCCTCTTCGCCCACATAACCTTTTCTTCCTGCTGGCGGATGCAACTTGAGCCACAACAATCACGAAACGGCGGGCGCGTGACGTGCTCAATGACGCGCCCTGCTGCGCCTGCTCAACCATTCTGAGCGCCGCGCTTTAACGCGTCCCCCCGAAGCCTGGTGGGCGGGGTATACAGGCGGGTGAGGTATGACAACGCAATAACGACAAGCAAAAAGGCAAGTGTGAAACAGGTGCGCCGCGCACTAAAGCCAGACCCTAAACCAGCCAACCAAGTTCTAAATTTGCGATTGCAGAAAAAAACGGGTGCAAGAAGGAAGCCGTTGTGATTCGGGCGTGGGTGCGCAGATGCGACCTGCCACGCGATACGCTATTTCCAACTGCACAAATCAACGTATTCTGCAGCGTAGGTTTCAAATCGCGTGGACGAGTACCTGCATATTAACCAGTCTTGGGCGCAAGCCTCCGGCAAAGCAACACGCGATGATAACTCGGGTATGGTATCACCTACCACTCCATAGCGGATGCCAGCCCGTGTCTTCTGTTAGCACGTTGTAGAACCTAGCAGATGCATGGATAAGTTGACCCTGCTCGTCTACTAAATTACAGAACAGGCAAGATTCCAGGAATTCATCCTTCGATCAGTTTCATGTGTCCTCGCCTTACCTCCCGTGTAGCCAGAGCTGGCAGAGTTCGATATGTCTGAATTATTCAAACCCGCGCCTGCTCGAAATGGCAATGGCAGCACTTGTGCCGCTCTTTATCGATATGCAACAATCGACTTCACAATCCTTGAGAAACGCTTGCAGTCCGAATTCAAACTACTGAAGCACCTCGCACAGTTCCGTAATACTCCGGCTTTCAAGCAAATAATACCACCACGCACCGACTGCAACTCCACGGCTGACCAATATTCGACCCGCTCAACAATGCACCCTCCTCTTGTCGATGTCCGCGCTTTTCTTGCAACCTGCGTACTTGTTCCGGCCGCGCCCTTAGCTCCCTGGGAAGCCTTTGATACAGGTCCTGATAAGCACGCACGTTGCGGTTATGGGGGCGCTTGCCAGATTCTGTAAGACGCCCCGCCTTCCGCAGATAGGGGCACGCATGGAATGCGCAATCTTCTGGACTGACAACAATCTATCCGAACGGTCCTGCACTGAAGCCCCTGAAGCCCCGTCGCTCTTAAACCGATGACGCGGCGCGGGCCCCTCGACATCTACGTCGCGGGATTTGCTCTTCACTGGGTATGTCGCGCCTCGCTTCGCAGATTGCTCCAGGTCTCCCTCTTCGAAAAATACCTCGGCGCGCCATTGGTTCGCTGGTCGCCGCGGCCCAGTCTGGCCCCAGTCCGCAATTCGGCGAAGAATCCTGGTTGGCGCCAAATGCATTGGTCCTGACCCGAGCCTGCCCTGGATTTGAATGTCGAGTTCACTGTTGATCGGCCATCCGAACCAACCAAGAGATCAACATCGCCGCGGAATATGATAAAGTCGGCCCTTTGCGCCGCTAGCCAGACTCCCCTCGCTGCGCGTTCAAGCGCGCATGGATGTGTTTTCCCGCTTTCAAAGACAATGCCACGTTCAACGTCCAAGCAACAGTCTGCCCGGCTGTCGGCGGCGCCCCATGGGCCACGCTTTGACTTCGATAGTCTCACGCGCGCGCCTGGCCCACGATCTTCCTCGGATAACCTGGCGAAGATGTCATTGAGGCTGGGTTTGAGAATGTGCTCGCATAACTTTGACAGACCCCAGCTTGACTAGTTTCTCGCGCCTCGCCCCCCGGCAACTTCCATGGGGAATGACAATTTTGGGACTCCCAACAGAAAGGCGGATGCAATTGTACCCGATCTGTCGAGTTGCATTTAACTTGCTGGGTCGCCTGCCAGGGTAGGTGCTCAGGAATGGCCTCGTCACGACCGTTGATATCAATCCGCCTCGCGCTTCCAAAATTGCCCCGCCCGCCCCCCCCCCGAGCTTTCGACGAGAGCTTTGGATCGAACTCGCCACCCGCTGCGTCGCCCCAAGCGCGCTGCATCAGCTTCGCGTCGAATCGCGCGCCTTTCCCCCCTGGCAACTGGATGCGCTTCAACGGCAAGTACCCATGCCTCGCAAGTTCCTGCGGCGACTCAATTGTCTACTCATGGATTCGCTCTGTCCTTGTCCTGCCGGGCGATGCCCGGCCCCGCCCTCTTCTGAGTTACTGCTGCTCTCTCTCGGGCGCGCGGGCCCTCATGTCTGTGAGGCCACCCAAAAACGCGCGCGACATTCCGCGTTATGGTCTGTGGCTGGCGTGCCCTCTGGCCAATGCATTGCGTCCGCATCGGCCTTGCATGGGCGCCGTGGCCACGCGGCCTGAACTCTCGACCGCGACCCCTCGATCCACTAACGGCCGGGTATCCGCAGCTAACCCTTGACTGGGCACCGGCGTTGCCGTGGACACTCTGGCTCTCGACCCCCAGTCTGAACGCGTTTGGGAGTGGTTGCCAGGGCGGCCCTTTCACGTTGATAACCTCGTCTCCTCATCGCCCCCATGAACTCGCGAGACTTGATGGCGCCCTCTGGAGTGCCGATGATTAACTCTCGGTTTGTTTCATGTATCCCCCCAAATACACCACTCCCCCACGTGGCTTTGAAACCGGTGCCTCCTTCTTTCCAGCATGGTCTTCCGGCGCGTGACGATGGCGCGTTGAATTGCCACCTTCGGCGCCTCCCGCGCGCCGTCGCGCCGTCGGCGCCCGTCGTGAACGCGCTGATCGGAGAGGACGCAGAATCCACGTACCAAGGTACACATGCGCGCTCCTCCCCGAGTTCAAATATAAATGCGTCGTTCAAAGCGCTCTTGTCGACGTCCTACCGTGCACTGTCACTGCTCTGATTGCTCTCTCGGCCTCGCCAGTCGCTGGGGGGTCACCTACCGGACTAACCTCCACTCCCGCGATGAGGCCGCGCGAAGCTTCGGCGGCTTCATTGCGCGCCGCAATAGATGACTCACCATCGCTCTTGAGGGTGCCTCCTCTGTGGCCAGTGAACAACATGAAAAATCTTGCACAGGCCCAGGCCCGAAGTGTTCCGATCTCCCAGAGCGCCCCGCGGCCCCCCGGGCCCCCCCGCGCCTGCGCAGACCCCCGGGGTGGCGGTCCACGGTGGCCCCGAGTCGCGGCGACGGTCCACGATGACCCCGAGTCGCGGAACGATCGCTCCAACGCTCTTAAGATGGCGCCCGGGCGGTCTAGGAGGCCTCCATGACGCCGCCAGAGGCCTCCCAAGACGTTGAACGAAGTTTGTCCCTCTGGCGCTTGATGCCGTCGGCGTTCTCGCCCGCCCGGCTTCCGACGCTCCCAGGCGGCCGCCGAAGCCCCCGGGGCGGCCCCGGGACAGCCCGGAAGGCCTCCAAATTGACTCCAAACAGCCCGAGAAGAGGGCCCCGAGAGGCGCCCGAGACGGCCCGAAAAAAAAAAGCCCAATGCGGCCCGACAAAACTGCCCCAGCAGAAAGAAGCAAACCAGAAATCCAAAACCCCCGCGCAAATAATCCCCCAGGGCGCCCAGGCGACGCCCAAAGGAATCCCAGAACGGCCCCGAGAGGCTCCATTATGGCCCCCGAGAGGCCGCCGAACTGCCTCTATGAGGCCTCCGAGGACAAGTTCCCGACAAACATCCCGCGGGCGTCGCGCTGGCAAGCCCCGGCGCGATGGCGGGGCGGGCTCATGGCCATGAAATACTTCAGTTGAATGCGCGGCCGCGCCCTAGACAGAACGCCGCCCCAGGTGAATTTCCTGCCCCGGCAGCCCATGGCGATGATTGGGCCCCCTCTCGCCCTTCTTCCTCGCCGCGCCCCCTCTTCCCGCTCGGCCGCGCGCTGTCGACCGAGGCCGCGGGCGCGCCATGCCCCGGCGCCTTCAACTTCTATCTGCAGTTTCTCCCCCCAGCCTTCCCCCGACGCGGCGGGGGCGCCAGCTTCGATGACGTCCATGAATTTCGCCATGCGACTTTACTGATACTTTGATTGGTCTCATGCTCTCTCCGATTGGTGTCCCGGCCTCTTCGCCAACGAACGCATCGTCCGCGTCGCCTAACGCGCTGCCCCCGCCCTCGCTCGCTCGGGCACAGCGGGGCAGGCCCGCCGTGGGAACTCCCTCCTCGGGGAAGCCCCACGTCTCTCACCATTGGCTTCCTTTCCTCTCCGCGCCGCCCCCTGGGCCGCGCCCCGCGCGGCGAGCTGGAAACTAGCGCTGTCGTTCGTGACTTGTCGTCTCCTGCCCGTCGTTGCACCGATCTAGCGCTGCGCAATTCCCTGCTTCGACCGCCGCGCGCGCGGGCCCGGGCCCCTCTTTCTACATCTGCAACTTGGATCGGCGCGATCGCCGTGGGCCGCTTTTCGCATCTACACGCAGAAACCCGCTGCCCATGGTTCCGGATGACCGATCATCTCGCCGCGCTGCAACGCGCGCCATTCTCGGGGGCCTCCGCGGGGTCCGCGAGGAAGTGGGGCCCCGCGCTTGGAGGCCCGACAGAGTAGCTTTCTCCTGAGAGCGCAGAAGCAACAAGTGTCTCCATGCCACTTTCCTGCTCCCGAACTGGTTCTTCGTCGACTTTCCTCCTGTGCCCCTTTCAGCTACACGCGCTGTAGATCGGCGCCATGCTGCTGCCGACATTTATCCTGGGCCACGCGCCCCGAGATTGCGCGGCCCCAGCTGCTGCCGCGTCTGCAAGAGGCGCCGCGCTCGTCTGATGCGCGCTCTCCCTGGATTCCCCGCCGTGCCTCCCGGTTCCTCCTCCTCGCCACTGGGCGCTGTCCTCCCGTCCTTTGCTCCGTTAGGCTGCTCGGGTATTTCGTGCTCATCGGCGCCTCCATTTCCGTCTACAACTCCGTCCATCTCGACGCTGTCGCACCCTGGCCCTGGCGGAGCTTGCCCTGACATCTGCGCGTGCTCTCCTGGGCCCCCCGCCCTCGCCCTCTTGGGGCAGCGGGTTGCCGCGCCGCAGTGTTTGCCGCGCTTGCAGCAGCGCCCCCTCTCGCCCATCGGCGCAAATCCTCCCGCGCCTTTTCGCGTCCAGCCTGGGGCTTGGCCTCCTTGGTAGGCGCCTGGGGCGTTCCATTCGTGGCTGCCCTCGTTCGCGCCTCCACGGCAAACGCGGGCGCTCTGGCATCCCCCCGCGGGCCCCCCCTGTCTGCGCTCGCCGATAAACCTTAGAAGCATTGTATGCCATTGTTCCATGTCCTTTTCCTTTCGTGGACCCATTCACGGCGCAATCTTTACCAATGTGCCCGTGTCCTTCGCGCTCGTAGCACGCGCGCCCTGTGCCTTCTCCCACTCATTTCGCCGTTTCATTCGCGTCGCCGTTTCCACTCATGTCCTCCGCATGACAAATCCACTTCTCCCACATTCGGCGCAATGGCCAGAATCGTTTACGCCCGTGCCCAAGTCGCCATTGTCTTCATCATTCACCCGGCCAGTTAGCATTTAATCATTGCTTCCAGTGCCCGCATCCAATAATTGCTTCCTTGCCCAACCGTCGCAGTGGATGGAGACATTACGGTAGGTGTCAGGATTTAGCACATGTGGCGTCTTGAAGCAATCCTGTCGCAAGCCGTCGAACTCATCGCCAGCGTGGGTTATGGTAATGCTCGGCGCAGTAATCCTGAAAGGTAATGGTATATATATATGATGTAATAGCATGCGTTTCCAAGTACTGTACCGAAGCATTTCATTATTCGAAATTGATCGCCACATCGTTCGCCCTTTTGTCCAAACGTATTTGCCAGGTTCATACTGCGGGAGAGCGAAACCCCAGCGACAACATAATACCATGTGTATATGTTACGATCGGCCACTAAACCGTCGCTTTCACACGTAGGTCCTTGGGCTTTCCGCCAGACCCTGCCTGCTCGAAGTTGTCATTCAACATATGCAAAACAACCACGTCTCAAGCTTGGCGCTACCGTGTTCATCTAATTCATATGATTCGTTTGCGTCTTCGCCTTGTTGCTTGAGGTGTAGCGCCTTGGTGTCTTCTGTCAGCGTTAACCTCCCATGCACGATCCTTATCAGAGCATCCATTTTCGTCGTCTGGCAGAAGCTGTGCAAGCACATTCAACAATTTCCCGCTCCATTCCCCAAATTGTTTTGGTCACCCGGAAACGTTTTGAACTGTTGAACCGCCTTGTACACGCTCATGGGATTGCTTACACCTCCTCTGGTCCTGGCGTTGCCACCAACGTGCGCGGCCTGCGCAATACTTTTGACATGCCCCATGGCGTCCGACTGACGATGCAATTTGGTCCTCATCGTGCAAAATATAGAACAGGTCTTCGCAATACATGATGCGGTTGATGGCTGATATCAAAACAGCATTCAAACTGCAACGTTGTGAATGCCTCATCATTGTTATCTGTTTTGGCGCCCAGCGAAACTGTGAGGTCGAAGATGTACCCCATTCCTACATGATCAACGTTGACGCTGTGTTCTGCGTCGTCCGTTCTCGTGGCTGGCATCGCATACTTCCGCGAATTGGTTTGTGCTCAGGTTGTACATAATTTTTCGGAATTCGTATGGCGTCACATCGAAACATGGGTCGGCTGCGCCCGGGTTCGGCTGAGCCGTTGCGGCTGCCGCCGCAGCCTTTGCAGGGAATCGAACTGTTCCGAGGAGTTAGGCACGCGAAGTGGAATCCGTGGGGCGAAACTTGGGTTCCACTACCACGCAAATGATCGTAGTTTTGCGCTTGAAGCAGAGCCCGACAGGGGGATTTTGGACGACAAGTGAAAAATATGCAAAAACTATTCAACACATGCCCAAAATACTCTAAAAGTAGTCCCCTGACTATTTTTTCGCTATGTTTGAATCTTCCCCCCTCTGAGGCCCCCCCCAGGCAGGCAGGCAAGACCCGCGCCCAGACGGCGCACCGGCAGAACATTGCATGCTGAAGACAGGTCTGCAAAGACACGCAACAATGTGCGGCGGGTTCGCGTCGTGCCGACCTCGGCAGCGGTCTCTGACACCGCGGGGATCGTTCCACCCTGAACGATACGCCGTTCCCGAAACGCCCAAGAGTCCGAACCGTTCCACATCGAACGATTCTGGGTCGCCCGCGGCGTTCCACGTTGCACGCCGCTGGCGGGGCCGCCGCCGGTCGGCACGACACGCACCTGCCGTATACGCGTGCAGAGGCCGAGGCAGTTCTCAGGGCCTCTCGGGGAGCCAGCGCCGGGCCCTTCGTTTGCCGGAGCCTCGCGAGGCAAGGCCCCCCCCCCTGCTCCACCCGAAGGGGGAGCGTCGGGCTAGGAATAGGTCGGGTCTGTCCCCCTACAGGGGGATTTTGGACGGAAAATGAAGAATACGTAGCACCCCGCAATTGCGGATAAGAGTGAGGGGGCGGGCGCGGGCAACGCGGGCGTCGTCCAGCCGGCGGACCTCGTGGCCCCCACCTTCCCTGTCGATGGCGCTCTCCTCCTCCTCCTCCTCCTCCTCCTCTTCCTCGTCCTCGTCCTCATCGTCATCGTCATCCTCCTCCTCCACCTCGTCCTCCTCCTCCTCCTCCTCTTTTTCCTCGTCCTCCCTCTCCCCCCCTCGTCCTTTCATCATCGTCGTCCCATTGTCGTCCTCCCCCTCATCGGCCTCCATCATCGTCCTCCCATTGTCGTCCATCATCATCCTCCCCCTCATCCCCCTCCTCGTCCTCCTCCTCCCCCTCCTCCCCCTCCTCGTCATCCTGCTCCTCCTCCTGTTCTTTTTCCACATTCTCCTTACATCCTCTCTTCTTCCGCGTTCTCCTCGTCCCTTGTTTACTCCTCCTGCCTCCCCCTCCTTTCCCAAGATAACTGCAACGCAATCCTTTTTTCCACTTAATGCTCCCCGCCTTCTCTGATCAAGGCAACTCGCCAGGGCAGAGTTGCTGGACGGGCTGGTGTGGATGCGCGGGGCTTGAAAAGGTCCTTGCGGGCTCAGACGGCATGCAAAAATCCGTCGCCACGCTTGTGCGGCATTGGTTTGTTCAATGAACGTGGTTTAGGTCGCGGGTGGGTCGCGGGCTCTCCACCTCCATCTGGAAGGAATGCAAAAGCAGCCCGCCGCAGGCGCCGAAAAAATTGGCTTGTACACTGAACGTGGTTTGGGTCGCGGGTGGGCCGCGGGTTCTCCACCGTGAACGAATGCAAAAGATGCCCGCCGCAGGCGCCGAAAAAAGTGGCTTGTACCCTGAACGTGGTCGCGGGTGGGCCGCGGGCTCTTCCCCTGAAACGAAAGCAAAAGATGCCCGCCGCAAGCGCCGAAAAATGTGGTTTGTACCCTGAACGTGGTTTGGGTCGCGGGTGGTCGCGAGTTGGTCACGGGGTGGGTCGCGGGCCCTCCACCTGGAAGGAATGCAAAAAAAACCCGCCGCAGGCGCCGAAAATGGTGGTTTGAACCTTGAACGTGGTTTGGGTCGCGGGTGGGTCGCGGGTGGATCGCGGGGTAGGTCGCGGGTGGGTCGCGGGTGGGTCGCGGGTGGGTCGCGGGTGGATCGCGGGGTGGGCCGCGGGCGGGTCGCGGGGTGGGTCGCGGGGCGGGTCGCGGGGTGGGTCGCGGGGTGGGTCGCGGGGTGGGTCGCGGGGTGGGTCGCGGGGTGGGTCGCGGGTGGGTCGCGGGTGGGTCGCGGGGTGGGTCGCGGGGTGGGTCGCGGGTGGGTCGCGGGGTGGGTCGCGGGTGGGTCGCGGGGTGGGTTGCGGGTGGGACGACGACAACAAACAACAACAAACAACAAACAACAACAAACAACAAACAACAAACAACAAACAACACACAACACACACACCAACAACAACAACAACAACAACAACAACAACAATTACTAGCACGCGGGGACACACCGTTCTCACCAGTGCCAGGGTTTTCATAGGAGGCGGGCAATACCCACTTTGTGGGGGGGCCGGTTCAAGCTCTACCAAATTTCCAAACGACTCTTCGCCACCACCCACACCCAGCTTCCCGCCCTATGACGTTCGGA